CCTGTGAAATAGTGTGTGTGTTCTGAGACATACACCATGAGGCATTCTCACTGCTGTCTCCTGGGCGTCTGCATACTTCACCCTCCTACATTAATTTTGCTTTTAACCAATTTCTGATTGATTGTTTTTTGGGGGTTGAGTTTTTTGTTTGTTTGTTAGGTTGGTTGTTTTTCAAGACAGGGTTTCTCTATGTATCTCTGACTGTCCTGGAACTCACTCTGTGGACCAGGCTGGCCTTGAACTCAGAGACCTGCCTGCCTCTGCTGGGATTAAAGGCTTGATCTTTAATCATGCCTTTAATCATTCATGATCATACTTGGCCTCTTAAACAGTACAATATTTTTTAAAGATTTATTTTTTAATTATTGTTTATATGTTGTTTATGAATGTATGTCATGTACACAAGTGGCCATAGAAGCCAGAAGGCATTGGATCCCCTGGAACTGGAATTAACAGGTAGTTGTGAGACACCATGTGGGTGTTTAGGAGGGACAGCCAGTGTGCTCTTCCTGCTAAGCATTCCCTGCCTCACCACAACCACGCAGACAGAATGTTGACTATTCATCAGCAATTGCCAGCTCTGGCACTTGCCCTGTAGGCCCAAGTCTTATCTAGAGTTCAACCCCTTTATCTGGAAGAAGACATTATTGAGTTACTTTGTGTGTTTGTGTACTGTGTGTGTGCACCGGGAACTTGCAGAAACCAGAGGACAGCTTGCAGGAGGTTTTGTCCTACTCTGTGGGTTTCAAGGATCATTCTCAGCTTGTCAGGCTTGGCAACAAGCACTTTTGCCCTCCAAAGCAGCTCACTGGCCCAGTTCTAGTCTGCTGTTATCCCTATCCTAAACATTTTATGCTAGTTGGTATTTCAGCTCTGTTTTCTGTTCTTTTTGTGACTTTTACTCTATACTAATAATTCCTAGGTCCCTACTCTAATGATAATCTGGTAAATATTTGCATATATTTTTCTTTAGTTTTGTGTATGTGTGTTTGCATATGCATGTTCACATGTGTATGACTGTGTGTGTTCATATATGAGCATGTATATGGAGCCCTGAGGTCGACATCAAGTGTCTTCCTTGATAATTCTCCACTGTGTTTATCAAGACAAGGTCTATTGCTGTGCCCAGAGCTTCTAGCCAGCTTGCCCAGGATCCAGTGTCTCTGCCTCTCAAATGCTGATGTTTCAGTTGGCCACTATGCTTTCCTGGGTGTCTCCATGGGTCCTGACAATCCAAACTCAGGCCTCCACATTCGGTGCCATCTGCACAGCCCTTTCCTTTTCATAGATGTCTTCATTTGATCTGTTTGGTACCTGCTCCATTGGGGGTCAGTCTCTACTGACTGGATTTCCTGTGATTGTGGAACACACCATCCTTCCTTCCTGTACGTCTAGTGATTTCTGTTAATGTGCTGCACATTGTGAACAGCTTGTGAGCTGATGAACATCTATCTGCCTCCTCTAGTGGTGGGTTTAGTGACTGGCTGTTCACTTTGGACTTGTGTGGGCATGGCTTCATGCAGGTTTGTGGAAAAACTATCTCAGCCACCTTCATTGTGGAGACAGTGCAACAGCCCCTCCCCCAAGACCTTGCCAGGCTTGGCTTCTCACTTTGGTAGATGTCTAAAGCAGGCCTCACTCCTGGATGGGCTCATTATTCCTGATGTGAGGCCTAGTGGGTCAGCCAGCCCATCTGTAGCTCTCAGTGGTGACCGCTCATACCTGTTCCATCTCAAAGCCCTGCAGCAGCCTGTCGCCTTTTGCTGTGAACATACATAGCCTGGCCCTCAGACACGGTCTCCTAGGGAACCCCCCAAAGTCACAGCTCCCGCCATTCCACCACCTTATCCTCACAGATCCCGGCCTTCTAGTTAGTTGCTCCAGATTTTGATCAGGCTCCTCAGCTTAATGTGACTATTATAGTCTGGCTTGATTTTGACCCCAGGCAGAGAATGCCAGGACCCCGCCTCTGCCTGCTCTCCAGGGCCTGCCAACAATTATCTTGCATGCGTCGTTTGCCTTCGTGGATGTTTCCAGCAAGGTGACTAGTTAGGCATCCGGCACTTTGTTGTGACCACTTTATGAAGTATGAGCCTATTCCCTGAACACCGTCGCACCTCTCAGTGCAGCACCAAGCTTTGTCCTACTATGATGGTCCCCTGCTTCCCTCCCTCGTATTCTGGCTTATCTGCTGTTTGACCCTGTGGAGTCTACTTTTTACATAGCTCACATTTAAATTTAACATTGGGTGGAATTTAATTATAGAACAATAGACGAGAATATATTTCTATTGCTTTGGTATTAACATATACAGATAATGTAAAGCCAAATATCTGGAAGCCAAGGCATCTCCCCTCAGGTAAGAGGGAAGGAAATGTGTTGAGTTGCTATCATTTATGTGGGAGGTCAGATCATCTCAGATGGGAGGTCAAACAACGCACAAGTCCTTAGCAGCACCCATCTTTCTCATTACCCGCCCATGCTTCTGTTAGTTACATAACTGGTTTTCTGGCCATAATCCCCATGTCTTGTGCCTAATCCTATCGGTAAGTAGACTCAGTGCTTTCTGCCAGACCATTCACTGTCGTTCTCTAGCCATCTCCTGCAAGACTGGAGTTAATCTTCTTGTTCTTCCAGGAGAATGTACAGGAGCAATATTTTTTCAGCTCTTACATGTTCAAGAATGTCTGTCTGCTGTTTTCGCAGTTGAGTGACAGTTTGGCTAGATATAAAACTCTTGGGCTATACCCCCTTCTGCCTGTGTGAGCGTTGCTGCACTGTCTGCTGGCATGCATGTAGCCCTGGAGCTTTCTGGGGGCAGCTTTTACTGTGCCCTCATCTTCCATGTGATTGGGGGGGGGGGCACTGGCTATCAGAAGGGCTTTCTTTACTCTCAGCCTTAATAATATTAGAGCATATTTTTCTGTTAAATGTTCTTACAGCCTTTCCTTGGACTTATATGCTGAAACTTTCATTTCAATAAATTAAAGTTGCTCTTCTGTTGCCCTCCATGTTTTCTCTGGTTCATTTTAACTGTTTTGTTCTCACTTAGTTTATTTTCTAATCTTCCTGCCCTCCCACACCCTATCCTAAGTCATTCAAAATCTCTATTGGTACTCATTCCCTTCATCATTTTCTTCCTCCTTCCTGAGCCCTGCCAAGTCCTACAGTGACTTGGTTTCAGAATAACCTACTTCAGAAAATTGTGTTTTGGCTAAATTGCTCTGTGTCCATTTCTACTGGTTTCCATGGATGTTACCATTCCTTTTTCCTGCTTCTTCCTTTATTTTTCTTTGTATCATCTTTCTCTGTTTCCTTCCTTCCTTCCTTCCTTCCTTCCTTCCTTCCTTCCTTCCTTCCTTCCTTCCT